ACAAGCCCGGTTTCTTCATCACATGCTTGCTGCTCCATGTGGCTTCCTCAGGTCTCTGTCTGGCTCTCCATCCAGTTTCCTTCTCTTTGTTTTCCTCTCTCCTTTTTCTCTGCTGGGTGGGGCAGGGTACCTGGAACTTCCCCTTTTCCTAGGGACCACTCTGTTACACACCTACCGTCCACTGGAAGACCATCTCCTTTGCTAGCTGTGCAATCCACATGTGCCTAAGCTTGTCCACAGGCTCCCGGAGTGGCTGCTGCTCGCCATCATGCCCTTCGATCGCTACCTGGGACATTCGCTGCCTGCAGAAGCCACATAGGTCTCCTGTCTCTTCACGACAGAGAGTGTCATCGCCATGAAGCTACCCTTCTGTGGCCACCACGTGGTCAGCCACTTCACCTGTGAGGTTCTGGCTGTTCTGATGCTGGCGGTGGCGACACCTCACTAGGTGAGGCCCTCCTGCTAGCAGGTGCCATCCTACTGCTCCCTGTGCCTCTGACGTTCATCTACCTGTCCTACGTGCTCATCCTGGCCACCATCCTGAGGATGGCCTCGGTCTCTGGGTGCTACACAGCCTGTGCCCCCTTGCTCGGTGCACCTGGCTGTGGTGATGCCCATCTATGACGACGCCCATCTATGGCACTGTCATCTCCATGTACATGAAACCCAAGAACCCACATCTCTGATGAGGTATTCTCCATCCTGGATGCTGTGGTCACACCCATGCTGAACCCCATCATCTACAGCCTAAGGAACAAGGAGGTGAAGGAAGCTGTCAAGAAAGTGTGGGGGTAGAGGGAGACAGAGCCCAAGTGATAGTCTGTAATGGTATCAAGGCCACCCTCATGGTGACAACAAGAGGGAACATGTGCTGTGGGTCTTCACCCCAGAAGAGGCAGCGTCAAGCTGCACGGACCTCTCCCCGCAGCGTAGCCCAGACATCTGCTGCCCCCCAGCCTAGGCCGCCTCTCAGTGGTCACTCCTGCATCTTCACACCAACGACTTGGCTGACCTCAAGGCTCCAGTCTGTCGGAGACCCTTTGTCCCCCGTCACAGATGATTGGGGGGCAGAACAGGCAAGGTCTCAAGGTGGGAGCAGCGTCCGCGAGTGGAGATTCCTAGAAAAGGGGGAAAAGGAAAAAAAGGGGAAAGGGGAGCGAGGAAGACAGGGGAATCGGAGTTGGGAGCAAGTCTTCCTGTTCTGCCTTTAGCAGAAGTTTATTTTATACATTAGGAGCAAGCAGTGGGATGACATCAGCACATGAACTGGGCTGAGAGATTACAATCATCTTTTTTTCTAAGAACAGTTTAGGGTCATATTGCCCTTTAGCTGAGATATAACATTCATTATTCTTATAATCAATCTATTAAAGTTAAGATAGGTACATAAATTCGTAAAAGTTAAGGCTAACATTGTTATATTTCCCACAGTCTTGATTGGCTAAAATAAAGTCCCTTTAAACCTTAAATGCTATTTAATGATCTTCATTCCCATTGAGACATCTTAGAGG